TGAGCCTGAGCAGTCACTACACCTCCAAGTGGGTGGAACCAGGGCAAAATCATGTGAGAATTCATCATATTATGCGATGAAAAAAAATATGGTAGCACATACAAGATTAGATACGTCCTGGATCCTTAAGAACTAACTCTGTAAAGGTAAAATAAAGACCAAGGTATTTCACCAGCCCTCAATAAAATAAAATAAAAAAACCAAACATTTATTGCTTTGTACAGCTTTAAAAATAAACCTTAAAGAAAGGATGCACCAAGGAGGACATACTTACCGTAACACTTTCCTTGCTTTTTTCCACAGCTGCCTCTTTTTCTTTTGGAGCACTGGTTGTTTCTGTAGGTGCAGGCTGTGCACTGGAACCAGGTTGGGATGCTTTGTTTAATGTTTCTGAACTAACTTCACTATCTGTCTCTTGCTGTGTTGCAGTAGCTAAAATAAAAACCACGCAAATTTAAAAATGGAGGTCATATTCATTCACAAATAGATTGAAAGTTAAATAATGTAACTGTAGAAACACTAGCCAATTACCTGATTGTGTACAAGATTTCATATGTTCTGGCCAATGAGCTTGTTGGCAAGGATAGTCACAATAGCTGGTATTCCAACAACAGTAAAAGATGGCCTCTTTTTTGCAGTTGGCACACCACTGTTTCTTTTTGGTCTCATCCACAGCTTGTTGCTTTTCCAATTCCAGTTGTTTCTTCACTTCTGCAATTAAACGATCTCTTTCTTGCTCTAAGCTTTGTCGCATTTCCGCCATTGTGAGTTCTAGGAAACAGATGAACAGCATGTAATCTAACAGTACATAAATAGCTGATCTGCAAGTAATAAGGATACGCTACCTTAAAGGGAATAAAACATACTAATTTATTACAATCAAGGTTGACAAATTTACACTATAATGTGTATACTTATATATGTAAGCTTACTGTATAAAGTCTTAAGAACTTCCATGTTTTTTATTTTTGAAACAATCCACTATTTTTAGGTGTGATTCAAGAAATAATTACCAATCTATTTAAGAGGTTTATTGGCTATCATGATGGTGTACTGTGACAACTGAGCTGGACCACTATAATTGACTATACATATGAAAAACAGATCAGCACAGATGTTCCATTACATACCAGACTATGAACCACAAAAATATTTAACAAAAATATTGATATTTTTATACCCAGATTATGTTTCATTTCTGAGAGCTCTTGCTGATGTAACCACTGAAGCTTTTCAATTTCAATTCTCAGACGACGAATCTGAAATATTAAAAAAAACAGTAACACCAGGAATGTCAGTCAAAATAGAATAAAATTCTTCTTTCTCCTCTATCCCCACATTTATTACTTAGGGGGACTCTTTAAATCAGCTCTGGGTGACAGGAAAGGAGTGAGAGAGACCATGAAAGGAAATCCAATTGCACTGGATAAAAATCTTTATTTAGAAACTAATCACTCTTATGAAAAAATATCTCAGAATAAATATGCTTTCTATAAACTAGGCAAAATAAATAATGCACCTACTCCTTCTCCTAGTGGAACAGAAAGAAAGGGCAAATGTGCATGAATCAAAAGGTGAAATAAAGCTCTTCCCAAAGATATATACTTGTTTCTCCTGCCTTATAGTAAATACTATCCCTCTCAACTCAAATTTTAAGTTGTATTGTATTGTGTTCACTACGTAATCCAATATAATGATATTGTGAATTAAGTACTTCCAAATGTTAACTGGATCTTGGATAATTTGTACAATAAATAGGCTGCACTATCTTTTCTGGTAGAGCTACTAGAAAAATCTTTAAAAACTGAATTTGCTTCACCAGTTATGAAGTAGTGTTATTATATTGTTACTTTTGGCATAGAAGATCTTATCCATATGGGATAAATTCTTTATTTTACTGTGCTCTCTCATGCACATAACACCCAATTAATTATTTCAAGAGTTGACATAAGAACAGAGACAGAAACAAAAGGTTTAAAATAGGGATGTGCAACTCTCATCAGGCCAAGGGCCATACTTGGCCATTATATTATTTCTCAATCTTCTAGGTCGCTCCAGCCTAGATTACTCTGAATGGCTTACAAGACTTCAATACTTAAGGTGAAAAAACGTAACAAAAGCACCACCTCCAGGTAACACACATATAATCTGCAATATACCTGAAAACATATGACACCATTTTTTTCAGGAGCAGTGATAAGCCTTCCATTCCAGATGTTAATGGCCCTCCAAAATGTTAGTAAGAAAAGGCCTGGTAATTTATGGAGAACTTCCCCAAGAAGGGGTAATGTTCACAGTCAGAGTAGCAACTGCTCAGCAAGGCCTGGCCTTCCTTTTGGATTTCATTGGATAGATGCATTCCGTATGAAGTAAAGAGTCTTCTTAGGCAATAAAGAGCTTTAGAGTGTATTACCAACACATTCAATTGCAGAAGGCCAGTGTAGCTCTTGCTGCAGAGGCATTATATGCACAAACTAAGCTGGACTTGTTACTATCTAGGCTATGACATTCTGAACTGAACTTTCTGGATGGTTAAGGATAGCTTTCTGTAAAACCAGATATAACAGCCAGTTATGTCCCAAGGCTTGCACTCCCAAATCAAACACATACAATGGACTATTCAATTAATATGACTGCTCCCCATATATCTGTATCTCCCTTTCTATCACATTAAAATTGTATTGATTACCATTTTGGAGAGTCTAGAGATTATAATCAAGACTTTTTTAAGAAGTGCCACTGGTCTTCAAGCCATAGGGCAATACTGCTGGATTTAACACACATATTAAATTGTAAGGGTAAGATTTTTAATTACAACTTAAATGCAGCTTCAAAGAGCAGCTTACAAAACCCTATCTAGCAAGAGAACAAAAAACAATATATCAAAATATACTACCAAAACCAAGCTAGAGGAATATCAAACTCCAAATTCATACCATAGCAGGGTATATCTCCATTTGTCACAATTCTACCTTATAACCAGATTTTAACAGCTTTCCAGACAGCTAAAAGTGAGAGAGCCAGTCCAATCTTCGGGAGGGGTAGAAGCAATGCTGTTCTAAAGAAGAGGGGTCAACCCTTTAGAAGAGGTACCCAAAGAGAGCCCAGTCTATAATTGGATGAGCAGAAACCATTGGAAATAGTGGTTCAAAAGACATCCTGGTCACAAATCATGTACAGTTTTATAAGTGACGTACAGGACCTTGAACTGAATCTGGAAAGTAATTAATAATATATAGCAGTTATGATAGTTGAAGTAGGAATAATTAGTGGCATATATCACTACTCAAGCCACTGCCTTCTTGATTAGTAGTAGATTCTTGGTGATTTTCAAGGGCAGCCCCATGTAGACAGTAAAGAATACTAACCTCAGCAATTGTGCTTCCAGTAGTATTTTTTGAAAGGTCATTATATATTTCAGTCATTGTTCCTTTTATAGCATCCATCATCTGTTTAAAAGAAAAAAATACAGAATTAGATATTTATTTACTGGGAAGAGCTCATTCAGTTTTGTTTACACCAGATATGATTAAAAGGATACTAGAATATAATATGGTTATTTTAGATTTCATACTTTATATTAATTTACCATTCCAGAGTTAAATGCTACTCTCGAGCAACTGAGCCTGCTGAAGAGCACTGAATATATTCCCATCCCCAAATTTAAAGCACAAATATTGTTTAAGCAGGATCCTCCTCACTTCCAAGCTTACCACTGCTTTCGCTTGACAAACAAAAGTAGCAGCTCTATCTCCAGCAGCTACCTAGCAATGTATTCCATGGAAAACCACCTGGCATTGAACCTTAACCTCTGTTCAAAACACTATAGAGAAGAATTGGCAAAAGTAGACACTATAATCTCTTTGCTTGGTTTAAAATCTGTATCTGGGTATCATGCCTTTTATATTCAAGTGGGTAATACATAACCCAGGTCAGAGGGAAGATTAAAACATTATATACCTTTCTCTTGCTCTTCAAGTGAAGAATCTAGATAACTTGGGGGTTATCATTCACTTTGCATTCTAAACCTTTTTTCCTCAATGCTATAATCTAACCTCTATGAAAGACTACATATCAATTCTGCAATAAGACTTTGAATTAGCTTTGAACATTCGAACTAGCATGTTCCTAGGAAGGACATATTCAAGGGAAATTTGACATAATTCCACTGTTCTATGGGGACCAGTTTAAAATCTCACCATAATATGTTATTTGTGTCAGTGGGGTAAGTATGTGCTGAGAGAGAAGGTGAACTAAGCTGAGTGAGTGTGTGTGTGTCTGTGTGTGCATATTAATTAAATGAGATGGGGGGGGGGGAATGGAAAGGATCTGTGTCTGCTCTAGGCAAATGAACCAGGAAAGCAGGCCTGCCTTGAATGGCCTTGTCCACTGTTGTTATGTACTTATATGGGGTCTTTGACCATAAAAGAAATCCTCCAACCATCTTCTAATGTATCTAATGACACAAACAAATAGCACAGATAGATAGATTTAATAGGGAGAACTAATTAACCTATGTTGTGCACAAAAATGTAAATAAAGGATTTATTCAAAACAAGATTGTTTCCTGATGACTTTACAGACATGTCCATATAGTTATTTTCAACAACAATATGGAATCCTTTTTTGTTTGTCTGTTAACTTCTTAGTATAGTCTACACCCCTGCAATCTCCAATGCAAGTATTAACTGCGCCTAACCCGATTTAGTTTCTCACCCTAAAAATGGTTGGCCAGGTTATTTTGGCTAATTTTCCCTTCTATTCTTATCTAAAAAACATAGAACAGGAAAAAAATTACACATCTTCTGGGTATACATTAGGAGCCAACTTTAAATGTTGCTGTTATGTTCTTCTGTGAGTTCAAATGTTAATCCTAATCCATGAGAATAGTGAAAATAACAAAGGAATGATGAACACTTTGTACATGTTAAAAATGCATTAACTGAAATCAAGCATTTAATACACTTTTTAAAAAGCTTACTTTACTAGTATACTTAGCAATATCTGCAGCCACATCTGCTGAAGCAGTTGCTATTGGCAAGTCTGTATTAACTGAAGATGAAAGTGTATTTGCTGATCCAGAACTGGTTACTATAGAAACAGGCTGAGTGCTTGTAACCAGGGTGATAGTTGACGTTGAAGTACTCTGAGTAATTTCTTTTTGCTGTACAGCTGGAATACAAAACAAATCTGAAAATGAGTTACTATATATTTCAAAGCATTTAGAAAATTAAAAACAAGCCACCTCTGAAATAAATACTATTTGGTAGTTTTTCTGCTTAGTTACTAGAACTATACCATTTAATCTGTAGGTGATGTTATTAACAGAAAGCCTTAAAATCAGACAGGAACAATAAGTGAGTACTCATCCTGATTTTATCAATTGTAAAATGCCCTGTAGGGATTCACACATTAATAAGGCATTATGTTTATTAGGACCAACCAGAACATTACAAAATCATTTAAAGGGTTTCAATATAAAACCAAAGTGGTAGTGGAAAAAAAGAGGTGGTGAGCCCAAAGACTGCAGTTTTTAAAGTTCTTAAAACAAAATACAGGCAATATTAAGTAGATTTAAGTAAATTTGTTTTATTATATACTATATATCATAATATACACTATTACATCATAAATATTCAAGTTATGGGGAAAACTGCTGGTACAAATACAATGATAACTGTTCCTTAATATACAATATGAACCCAAGCAATTATTCAGAGATTTATTTAAAGAGAGTTCAGCCCACAATCAAAAAATAAGATAGAGAGATCCAGTTTTTCCTTTCTCCTGCAATCTTTTTTTTCTCTTTCAAAATGTCGCTGTGAAGGGCTCAGGGATGATTTGTGAAAAGAGGATGGTCAGCAAAAATAACCACTTCATCCTGCATAAGGGAACATCTGCTGGTTCCAAAAGACTTTCATATTTGAGAAGAAATTTTCCTTTTATAGGATGGCCTATCTAGATTCAACTTATCACTAACAACAGTGTTATTATCATAATAACCTGTGTTCTTATATAATTTTGATGTTAAATCTATTAGGTTAATTAAATCGTCAATAAAAGGACTGGACAATTCATATTCCAACTGAAAGGTTTCTTACTATATGTAGTGGTGGAAAGTTTGATAATTTCCTCGTTTTTGTGCAATTCATATTTGAGGTCTGGGCACAACTACTGTGAATGGATTGCAATGAGCAGACATTAGGAAAGGTGGGCAATACCTTTCACTGCTTGTCTTGTCTGGTATCTTGTTCCTTGGGAAGACTGAGGCTGCTGCTGCTGCTGATTCTGCTGCTGTTGCTGCTGCTGCTGCTGTTGCTGCCTTTGCACCTTCTGCATATGCCATTTCTGGGAAGAAGTCTGAAATTTGTTTGAAGAATTCCATACTACCCGCTGCACAGCTGGGACGGTTTCCTTTGGTAGGAGAGGTCTCTGCTTTTTTACTGGGCTGCCAGTAGCTGCAGCTGGAGT